TGCCCACCTCGAAGAAGCACGACACGATTCAGATCAAGCTGGGAGGAGGTGCGGTCGTCAGTGGGACCGCCACCACCACACTTCCCACCGGCGCGCCTTCGTCCTCTGCTGAAGTAGCAGTGGCAACGCCCTCAACAAGTACTAGCACCACAACCGAGCCAACAGAGACGAGGGCAGTCGAATGCGCGCCCGTTCGGCCGCTCACGTCCGAAGAGCTTGCCGCCAATCGAATGCCGGTATCGCGTACGCGTCACCTCCCCACACACAACGCAACGTGCTTGCGCTCACTGATGCGTCGTCGCGCTTCGTACTGGGTCTTCAGAGCTGCTGCAGACGAAGGGCTACGACAAGTACCAGCCGGGAACTCCATCGCACAAGCTGCATCTCAAGAACCTGCACCGAAAGAAGGAGATCTCTCCCTCGGAGCTGCTCCGTCTCTTCGGCTCCTTCGTCGCGCCAGGCCAAAGCCCAAAGTACGCCGCACACCCCACGCCGGGGCCACAACCGCACACAACCGCACGCGCTGTACAGCTTCCAGGCCCACACCGCGCGTGCTGTTCTGCTGATCCCTCGCAGCGACATCGAGATCAAGGTGATGACGGGCCGTATGAGCGGCCAGGCCTTCGTCACGCTGGCCAGCCAGGAACTCGCCACCCAGGCCTTGGCAGCCGTCCACGGCTACGTCCTCCACGGTTTGCCCATCCTCGTCGTACGTGCCGCCCTCACCCGTCATCGACCATCGTCGTGTTGTGACCCTTCTTCTCGCGTATAGGAGTACGGACGTGAAGCCAAAGGCAAGCCGATGGCAGAGTGATGGTCCATCGTGATCATTATCATCACCAGAGAGAGACTCAAGACTCTGCTCGCTTGTACACTGCACGACGCTGGCCTCACAACAAGAGACAAGCACTGGCACAGTCGTGGAGTTGGGTTGGTCGTGTTTATGAGAAGGGAGAGCAGAGGGTGCCACAAGGACGGCGATAGTGGCCTAGGACCGCGGGTTGTGGTTGCGCTGGAGGGCTTCGACGCGTGCAGCCTCCTTCTCGAGCTCGCGTGCACGACGATCGAGATCGCGATCCTCCGCATTCTGGAGATCGATGCGTTCCTTGATGCCGTACGTGCC